GTAACAACTAACGTATTCCAGCTTAAATATTATTACATATAAGCTATTTGATATTCGGGAAGTTTTAAACAAACGCTAACTGTTGTTTACAAGTCTAGATGTTATTCCTATGCACGAGTAACTGCAATTATTAAATCAAATGTTAATGTTTCTTCGTTAAAGTCAACGGTTTAATTGGAGTTATGCATCTTTGTTCCTTGATGTAGCACTTACTAAACACAATTAAAAGAATTTAATTTGGGTTAGACCGACACACTACCCTCCCTTTCACAGGGTATGCAATAGATATTAGGTCATTCTCCATGGTTTATGTAAACGGAATCGACCGACGTCTCAAGGCATTCAAGAATTTGCAGTGTACATGCATCAAAGCTAAACTCAATCAAACGGATGTTTCCTCATTTAATGACTCGGTCTCAGCGCACACTCCATCGAGTTCATGGTTAAGGATACTGGACTGTGGAAGAAGGCGAAGTGGATTAAGTATAAGATGTAAAAAATCACAGTCGCCCAACACACTCACTAGCTGCCATACTTGTCATGCCCTAAAAATTGTACAAAGTTTACGTTCTAAGGTAAATACCGAAAAATCTATTTGTATTTGCAGTAGGCCCTGCTAAGTTAAGTCTGCTGATTTTCAATACAAGCTCTAAAGTATTGAAACAATTGATTCTATGCTGAGCTTACTAATTAACGTCATACTTCGGCGGCTTTAAAGTGGTTTTGTAGAACTCTCTCTAATTTGATAGGATTCCTAAGTAATTTTTCTACAGTGTTGAATACTACGATTTATGCTATTGTTGACTTCGTAGGCAATCCTAAAGAGTAACTACCTGTAACGTTTTGCTATCTTTTAATAAAATCCAGTTTTGGTACTCTAAAAATACAGCAGCCGGTTAAACAGTACTGGTGGGCAATCTTTACATGTCTTCAATGCGGTAGATTATTAACTGGAGATGCTGCTTTAGGTGGACGACGTTGATCTAGTCAAACGGTGCCCGGACGTACTCTAATTAAAATGTATCTAGAAGAATGAGCAAATAAGTTTTAGGAGTTGTCTCTTCTTTAAAGATACAAAGAATAAAATGCAACGCTATTTCTTTGTAGAGGGTGCATTCCATTACAAAATTAATTCAGGCTAACAAACTGAGCGCAGAGAAGCCGCCGTAGTTATCATCACCCGATAAACTTTGTCCTGAAGATAAGAAGTGTGATAAATTATCCGAAGATATCAAAACAACGTATGTGTTTGCGCTGCTTCTGGGACTTTTACGTGAATGTACACCCGTCAATAAAGCGCTCTTCTAACAACAGCCGTGTGTGCTACTATGTTGGCAGGGTCAAGAAGCGGCTTAACATAATCTTTGTACAGAATTGTTTCTGTGCCGCCATAAAGGTTATATAAACTTAAAAATGCTCACTCACCAAACATTTGTTCAGTTGTTCAGCTAAGTTAGACCATGGTAAAGTTTGTAAGCAGGTCCATATCAAGCCCCACTGGCTGTACTGTTTTCAAATACATTTTATGCACCTACATTCTTAGACAATTCAGGGAATTACTCTCAACTGTTTAAAGCAAGATACACATCAAATTCACCATAAAAATATATATTACTTGTATCAAGAGCTAAAAAACTCACATGCTCTAACCTATTTTTATCTGATACTCCGTTTGGTCGAACAGCCTACAAACCACAAGCGCAATTCATTACCAAAATTGATATATTTTTGTTTTGGAAGCAGCATTATCATGATTCATATTAGATATTTACCTGAGGAAATATTCCAATATAGACCAGCAATTAAGTACAATGCCTACACTTTTGGTCAAAATCCACTCATGCATGAATATAAACATTTTTAGTATACTGATCTTCACCTAGTTTAGGAATAGCTTCGTGTACTTTAAATACGTAAGCTACCTACATAAAAATAATAATCCGGTGGTTGCGCTACTAGGATAATACTAATAGTCTCCTTATTACTGAGCGTATGTACCATAAGCAAGCGGAAATATATTCGACTTCCGTATACCACGCTCAATGTTGTCATCCTTGCAAGTTGCTCGTATTTGTTTCGTTTTTAGACGTGAGCCGCTATGACTGCCAATGCATTATATCAAGGGCTTAGCTGCTCAGGTGTTGGATTGTAAACACATACAAAAGTACTGTTTCTTAAACATACATATACCACGGGTTCGACGAGCAAAGGACATGAGTTCGGTAGATGTGAGCAACTGGTATTATTGCATGTCCCGGATGAAGTTTAATTTCCGATGGGATATTATATGATCTAAGTGTGCATATTAAAAACCAGTATTGCGTAGGTTTGGAATAGGGCACTACACAGGCCTATATAAACTCGACTAGTATGATACATATTCTGGCGCAGCGCTCTTCGAAACAATGTATATAGGGTATTATGTGCCAAGCAAATTGCAATCATGCGTAGATTGATGCAATCAACCTAACTGTAGTTAGCCTAGAAGAGGAGTGCGTCAAAATGAACAGTAAAGTTATTAAGTTTATAATTCATATATGGGAAAGTAAAGTATAAGCCGATGAATAACATATCATTGCTGGTTCCCGGTCTGTTGTGACATCCGGAAGATCATATAAGCTTCGCCCGAATTAAGGTTACTAGGCGCCTACTAGTAACGAGCAACGGATGCTAAGAATTTGTCTCCTTAAAAAATAACATGTAATTTACCCGTCCCCGCTATGCATTTCGAGTATTCTTTCGTAAGTATATGTAGGAGTTAAGCACCGTCTATCACGTAAAACGTTCTATCAATTCCACCTATCTTTAATAAAAACCACAGTTGTGTGTAGCCATTGCATGTAAATAAACTGGATAATGGCTAAGAACTTCTAAGGAATTTTGAAAGGAATTTGCAAACAAATCGGACACCGTTAGTTAACCGATCAAGATTCCAAATAGCTGCAAGTTAGGTGATTTTTCTCAATTTTGTGTAAAACCACTACTGGTAATAACCTACTGAGAATCCAGGTAAAAAATCATTCACACTCCAAACGGTTTATAAAACGTACTCTGTACTAGCGCTCTCACTCCTATTCCAAAAAGTTTTGTTGAAGTAAAATGCGGTTGCAGATGTCCTGAACTGTGTTTACCGCTGCCATCCAACACGCTTGTAACCATACGCGCCACTTACGCATAACAAATTTTGCTAGCCATAAAAGGAAAGATTAACAAGAATAAGGTAAAACTACCGCCAGAAGAGCGGAGTAATTTATCCATAATTAACTATCCATACACTAGAATGGATCATTCTACAAACAAAAATGCAGCGCCAGTAATAACGCTTTCTTTATTTCGTGTTACCCGCAGTTGAATCACCATGCTTTCATAGACAATAACAATCAAAACAATGTAAACGGAACGCTTTAGTAACCAATAGAGTAGTGAGCTTCCGCAGACAGATATCACAGACGCATCACTTTGAAATACTGGGTGCATCACTCATTAAACTATATCCTAGCACCTCAGCACGGTCTGTCACAGTTAGCTAAGGTTATGCTGAGATACCAAGTTGGGTTACTATTTACAAGTGTGTCATAGCTCCGCTAGCGTTAACGGGTTGCTAAAGCTAAGTGCTGCACAACACTTGCCAAATTGCTCATCCTGTATAAAGCAAGTATATTGTGATTCAGCCGTTTGAAGTATATATGTATATATATATATACGTCGCAGAATCAAGTTACTGTCCTAAGCAGAGCAGAAGAATACGGCAAAAATAAAAGTATAAACGTATGCCTCCACTGTCAGTTTAAGCCCTGTATTTCTCTTAGGAGCATTACGTTGTACGTTTTAGTTCTACGCCCAAGCCTAACATGTGGGATTTTTAAACTCATAAAAATATAACACTCATAAGAGAAGAGTTGTAGGCTTAAATACTGCTAATACTTTTCCGGGGCTAGATAGCGACAGTTGCGAAGCTGAATTTTAAGTAGGGTCTTAGCAGCAATTACTTAGATTTGGATACAAGTTCTCGACTAAATGAGTTTTGAAGTATAATCAGCTTGCTTCAGTGCCGTTTTAGTAAAAAACAAAGTTTACGTAGCATTGTAGAAGAAGCTACAAAATATTAACATACAAGTTTTCTCTTCCGGACCTGTTATCACATAAGATCTATTCATCAGTTGTTGTGTTTAGGTCAGTTACAAAGTAAAGCAAAAGCCAGGCCTTCTGGCAACACCATTACATTAAACGCCACGTTAATCACCTAGAACGTTTTATTATACCTTTCTTACTGATGGTTACAGTGAGTTACTTAAAGGTTAGTAGTGTGATACCAACGAGCTGATTTTGGCGTCGGCTGGCGTTTGAGATTAGGCGTCGCTTTTGTATCCTATAGGCCACAGACACAAACACACAGTATCATTTACAAGCGGGAGAATGATGAAGGATGTTTGAAAGTAATAATGTCGGTTGAGCTTACCGGCGTACTGCTGATATCCTCCTATTTTGCTTTGTGCAAGAGTTTGTCTTCTTGATAAGATGGCGAAAATCCCATTATAACAGCTTACGGTAAAAGTAACTGACGAACAACCCTGCATTTACTAATAAGGTAATCATAAAAAGGTGCTTCTTGCAGCGGTATTGTACTAGTACTGTAATGGTACTAGTAGAGTCAACCGGTTTTTTAGTAAACACGCACATGTGCTTTTGAGCAAAAGAAATTACTTTATGCGAACCATCCTTTAGTAACTGAGATGAAAAAAACGCGCCTTAATTTTTGTCCAAACAACCGGCATGGATACCATGAGAATCAAACACAAGCGCGCCTATTAAAACAATTTTGTAATATTAGCTTAGCATGCTTAGTGTAATCTTATCCACACTCACTCAGACTGGCAAAAACAGTTTGTTTAGACACAGGATGTAACAGGCCCTTACAGCTTACCTGCATTTTTCATTATAAACCTAAGCCAATTATTATGTGGGTATTTGAAATCCTAATAATAATATTGTTAACTCACCGTGGGCGTCATAAATAATGTCTGTGAGTTCCCGATAGCTAGTTTTCCTTTGTGTTGCCAGCCATCGCCACGATCCATCACGTAGTTGGTACAACTGACAGTGAACATAGTGACCAGCATATCCACAGATCTCATAGTAGTCTGACTGTACACTTGTAAATGAAACAATCGAAGAACGCCACCTTTGACCTGTACGGCTGTTTATATGAAAGCTGGAGCTAGCCCACTCGAAAGCACGAGTAAGATAGGAAATATTGGCAGCTGCAGAAACTAAAACAGAATTTCTAAAAAATAGCAAGAGGTATTGTTATGCATACCCAGAAGCAAGGAAAATTTCGTCATTTGTCTGCAGCAGCAAGTGGAGGTCTTCCATATTCCTCGATTGTTTACCGCTATTATATTTGAAACATGTATTAAGTCCCATTAAGTGCAGTAGGTATGCCAATACAAGCTGGTATTCAGCCAGAGGCATTAATGCACATTATCGTATAACGGTATTAATCCGTAGCGTTGCTCTACTGATGATCACTTTCCAGAATACGTGTGAGTGACGGTGCGTGGAGCGCAATAGAACATGTTCAATACGAATATTTGCCACTCAGCTTAGAGGTCAAGCCGTTAATAATTTTAACAAAATGGATAAGAAGGCAAGTCATAGAGCTTCGTAATACAGTAGTTATAGTGTATTAAAAATATATTGTGGTGTTGAAATGCATCATACTAACTAGTGCGCATTAGATCACAGCTCATGTTGGCTTTCTTCGGCGCTGGACCGCTGCATTAGAGGACCTGGAAAAAAGTATCCCCGGTTATGTTTCTTCAGTACAGGCTGCTCATCGACACCTATAGAAGAGTCAAAGGTAGTTAAATACCAACATCGGGAATGTTATGAATTTAATACAGTGTAACTTGCGCACGTGTGTTGAGATCCCGTACGTTTTTGTTAGTATTTAGTGTTGAATACATCCGTTATCGCGCTTTTCTTGACTGAAGTCTTAATGGATGGCTCTGCGAGTTTCCATCGGATAACCACTGATGCGTACCGTGCTTTAGCAGCGGTAAATCTTGATGTAAAACGGTTTCAGTGGAAAAAGGAGTCCATAAGCTGGCTTAAAGGAATCCACTGTGTGTGCTTTTATAGGTACTGCTGCTGCAAGCGCAACGCACGCTTCTTAATTTTACCAAAACGATTCCGCATCGAAGTTAGACTAGAAGACCACCTTCAGTTACTTAACTTCCTGGTACTATTACCGTGGTTGTATCCCTGTAATGGGTGTTATATGGTAGACCCTTTAGCAGTTATTAATCTTTCACATTTTGTCTTCCCTATCATCAATTTGTTCCCGACATCTTTTGTACAGTTTGTCTACATTAATTATTACAATACACTTCTTTGTGCCCCGCGCTCCGTCGTGCTGATTTTTGGCTGTGCTACTTCTGCTCGCGTACGTTGCTGACCAGTCTGCTTGCGAATCGGATAGTATACTCGGAATTACTATCGAAGGTATACTTCCATTGTGCTCGACGTGTGCCACAGGTTTGGCGCACCCGACGAATGGAACTCAACTGTGCTTAGACTGTGAGTTAACGCTGCAAGTTTTGCCTTTACTAAGGGACTGAAACCTTCTTGTATTCTATCGACCAGTACCTAAATTGGTGACCTCGTGTTACTTTTTGTGAACACGTATCTTTTATCGTATACTTAACTGACCACACTTCATGTGTTCTTACGGACAATTCCGTTGAACTCTAGCTTCCTTCCTTTGACATCTCTAATTCGCATGTATAGTTTATTCAGGTAGGAGCTACTTTCCGATGTGGTAAGGTCACTTCACAAAGTTCCATGTTCTCCTACGCCTTCTTGCGCTTACCTGTCTCCATTACACCTGAAGTCATTGATATCCTATGCCTGTAGAAGCGCCGTATGATAAACATAAAGCAGCTAGCCTTAAACGCACCACTGCATCTGAAGAGGCTCGTCCGCAACGGTTACTTTCCGGCGTCGAGCTTGGAGATCGTACCCCATCTTAGCTTCTTAGACACATGCGTACCCTAGTTGGTTCGTCGAAGCTCGACGACTCCATACTCCGCCAACGTTAGACGAAAGGTCTTCCGGCAAACCTCAAGGCAATTTTATCAGTTCTTAGCGACGATATCACTCTGGAAAAGCTCACCGACGCTGCGGGCAAAACGCACCAATGTTCCGTTGGGAATACGCTTAATCACATAGCTGAGTCCACCACTGCCAGCTAATCTCACAGCGCTACGCTTGCTTGGATCGACGATAGAATCTCCCGTCTAGAACTCAGCATGTATGCTATCCGACGTCAGCGTACTCCTAACCGAAGAAGTCCACGTGGCCTGCGCCACAGCACATCATGCTCACGTCAGTGGTAGTACTATTACTTCCACCGTCATTTCGGTAATGCAGCACGTAACTGTTGCCCAATATGCAACTATCCGAAAGGAACTCCGGTTTCGCAACCGGGAAACGCCAAAGCCAGCGAGGAATGGCGAGGGCTGTCGCTGGCCAACTCCTCAGTCGCCTGCTGTAGGTGTTCGACTCCACGGTTAAACTTCCTTTCTTGGTCGATACGAGAGCAGAAAGCAGCGGTAAACCACGATCTTTGGAAAAACGCCCTCTGAACCAAGCCGGACATATGTTACAGACGGCCAACCAGATTAAGCTCGCGACATAAGGCGAGAAGCTGTTGCACCTAAGCCTTGGTTTACGACGAGAATTACCTTTTATCTTTATCATGGCAGCTGTCCAGAAACCCATACTTGGCATCGATTTCCTTAGCAAATTGGGCCTCGTTGACGACCAAGGTTGCAGAAGTTACTGGACGACAGCACTTCGTCCACTGTCCCTTGCCATCTCGCCAAAGTCACTTCCGTCGGACTCCGCATACACATACCAGACACTCCACCGTATTCATCGATGCGTCAGCAATTGCCGTCTTTGGTCCGCTCTAATACCGACTCTACCGAGCCTAAACACGAGGTTCGTCATCATATCATCACCACAGGTATACCGGTGTCCGCCAAACATAGACGTCTTCCACCTGACAAGCTCCAAGCGGCTAAACGTGGATTCGAGCACACAAGCAATCTCGGAATCATTCGCCCATTAACAGTTAAATAAATTATTTAATTAATTAATAGTTTATTCTCGAATTTGACGAGACACACCAAGCAAGGCATGACCAACATTTACATGCAATATTGCTTCGCAACAAACACGTTGCTATGAGTGTAGTTGGCAGTAAGCCGAAGGTTGTACAGGCTGCGGAAGTTGTGTAAGTAATCATTAGGGATAGAGTCTTCCTTGGATGACGAAAGGTTGGGTTCTATCGTGCGTAGTGTAAACAGTCAGGGCGCTGTATGTGTAGTGATAACGATACATATGGGCACGGTGTAACTTGATATGGAAAGTGTCAGGGCAATATTGAATTATGATTCTGGACGACTTGACAGCAGTTAGTTCTGAGCAGTGCCTTTATTCACTGGCGAGTCACATCCGCCAATTTGCAGTGCTGTTACACGGACATCTGTGGCGTTTTATAGGGAGAATGCTTGCCAGGCGAAAACCCGCCACGTCCTGGAACACTGTCAGAAATTTGTTTGTGCACTAATATATAACTGGCAGACCAGATTGTCGACCGATTCCACACTCGGATATCCGCAGTCAAACGCCCTTCAATTTCCTCTGTTAGTTGGTTAGGTATCTTGGGCAGGGACACCATAATGGCTGACGGTAATCGAGGATGGGGGTTTAAGGTGGGCAAAACGTCAGTTTCTTGCGTCTGGATTTTTCAGGAGTATGTATTCTTTTCAGGAGTGTGTAGGTCTCGACTCCAGTTATAATCACTGGACAACGGTCATGGTACTGAGTGAAGTTGTATCCGTTTGTTGTACAGCCATATGCTTCACAGGTCCTTACGGGTTGTCCTGTCCAGGACAAAAGCGGTTTCTCGGTCCAATCCCAGATCCCCAAGAAGTTCCGGACCTCGGAGGAAAGGGAAGGTGAGAGACAACCAAGACCGCAAAGAACAGGCGTGGAAACAAACATTGTTAACAGCCTATGTTAGCACATTTAGTGTGGAGCCAAATGATGTACAATGTGCAGCAATGATTGTGCTGAAAGTGTCTTCTGAATGCTTTTCGAAAGCAATGGCCTATAAGTTGGTTGCTACTATCTACATGGAATACAGTGCGTTGCGTCATTAAGCAGAAACGCGGTATCAGTTTACTTTGATGCGACTATTGGGTGGGAAGACAGAAAGCAGAGTTCAGGGACCAGCGGCGTTTGAATGGTGGATGGACGGCTGGTGGCCAGCCTGCGTCGAAAGTTATTCAAAGTTCAATTGACGGTAAGTTAGCGGACAGATAGGACTCAAGCGCTGAGTAAACATTATCGGAGGATCAAGAGAGAAAGACGACACTAGGGTACTAGGAGTATAGTGCTATGGCTTACTGAAATAGGAAAAGCCTGTGAGAGCTAACCTCCTACAAAGATAAGTGTCGAAACCTTTGCTGCAAAAGCGGACCCAGATTACTAGGTGAGAAAGGATTACTCGATAGAAGTGAAGGATTAAAGCTCAGTTAAAAGAGAGCGTAAGTGCGGAGCAAATGTATACGTAGCGTGGCGCAGAGAAACAAGTCATTCTAAGGTGCTAAGGAAATGGTGAGAAATGAACACATAGAAATGTGAAGGTAACGGGCTTCTGTGTGCTGAACAGGTGAGAGGAGAGGAGATCTAAAAGGCTAAAAAACGTTAATTGAGGGAAGGGTAGTGTGTTGGGAGTATACACTCGAACGAACGTGCAGTGCCAGCCCATCAAGGAAGCCGTTAGGCTGCCGCAAGCAATTTCGGCAGCCGATTGGACGTTCACACGTTTCTCGCATGCACGCTGATTGGCCAACAGTTGGACACATTGGAGTGAGTTGGTTTGCCTGAATCAAAGGAAAAATGTCATGCATCAACAAAGGTCGGTTATTCTAGATCCAACTAGCTGTATATACCGATATGTTTCACTCGCCCTCTCTCTCCGTTTTCGCCTGGTCTTGTTGTTCGCAGAATATACGTTTTGTCCCTGAAGGACCGACATTTTACATGGTGTCAGAGAAGGAGAAGAACATTAGTACCACCCAGACGATGATTGGAGCTGCACCGGCTATTCAAATGCCTGCCCGCTGAACATGCATGAACGCAGTTTGGCAAGCAACTGGCGTTTCTGAAAGAGCAAATGGATGGATTTCTGCACTTTATCCCGTCTGGACAAACAACCGATGGCGTACCGCTTGGCCATGTTTCGACACGCGGCAGGAGACGATGCGCGCCGCGTGCTAGAGCCACTGTGTTACGACAAGAACGAAGATGCCAACAATCTGAAGACAGTTCTTGAGAAGTTCAGTGAATACTGCGAAGGCCAAACAAACGAGACATTTCAACGCTACCTCTTCTTTTCGCGGAACAGGCGGCCAGGGGAATCCGTTGACACTTACGTCACTGAGCTAAAGATTTTGGCACGATCCTGCAGTTTCTGTAAATGCATGGCGCACAGTCTCATACGGGACCGCATTGTTCTTGGGATCAATGACGAAGGTTTGAC